ATTGAAAAAGATTCGCCATCTCTGTCCTAAACATTTACGCAGCATACCGGCACGCTCAGATAATCTCCATTTGAGGCGCTTCGAATTACAGACATTTTAACGTGGTTTTATCAAAGCTTACGGCCCGGGTACGATTCGCCCTTAATCTGACAAAACTGGACTTGCTAACTGTTTAACCGTAGTTCCGCAACTCACGAAGCATCAGAAACATAAAAACTAGCCAAGTGCTGCCGAAATTCCAAATGTGTCTTACTATATATACTACACGATCATTGCCATCAATCATGCTGTACTGCACCCGAATATTCGCCCAAACGGATAATGTCGGTAAATTCATGGAATATTATACTTTGATTGAAATATGCACTATTAGTCGAATTATACAAGATCATACATGACCATGCAATCTACCACTGTAATATACACACAAAGCTGTTACAATTACACATGGCCAGTGTTAAACTTTTCTGAGGCTTATCAACCCATTGACTGTGGAGCACCAATGATTAATCAATCTGGGATTGATATTAGCCTTGTGTGTGTTGACACTGATTTACTTATAAAATATTTACGAATGCCCTCATATACTGAATGCTAGAGTTTTAATCTAAAATTCAAGATATCCCGTAATACTTGGAACCGAATGTTGCTCTCGACACGGCATTTAAATCATTATTTGTCATCAGATTATAGAAATATAACAGTGAAAAAAGATTGTTATCTTGCTGATTATCATAAGCAGAATAAGTGTGATTGTAGTTATTACCAGGCACTTGAGGTTGTCATAAAATATTTGTTTTTAATTAAGTAAAGAATTTATTCCATTTAGTTACGTTTGTACCCATTGTATAGGTCAGGACAAACAGTTCCTAAGATTGCTGGCACAATCTTGTAGAGTAAAATGTCAAAAACTAAAAATTGAATACACCAACCATTTTGCCTCTAACATTGCTGCAAGATAGTTATAACTTATAGTCTTTTTGCTAAACCACGAATTCCTACCCATGTCGAACGAGCCCAAACCTCGGACATCGTAACTGCGCAAGTTCGAATAATCCAACATTTATCTATTCCACTGCCTGCTACAGCCTGATGTAAGCACGGGTATTGGTCTTTGCTGTGACATAGGGAATGACTCAATTCATATGAGGAAATAGCGTTTGAAATATGACGGAAGCCAGGATTTCTGTGAAAACAGATATCGCGTCAGGGACCATATCCGATTATTACCGCAGCGCGTTCAACAAATTGCTACGAATGCCAATGAACAAATCGTGATAATTTTATAAGACTGGTCCGTAGCATATTATATGGATTCCATTGACGTCGGGATTGCAGACTATCCCAATAAAGTGAAATAAACGAGATGGCGATCAGAGACCGCCGACTTATCGATCTAGCGGCGTGTATCCTTCGCTCTGACTCAATAGCGACACCGCGTGTCCCATCACTATCTAATTAATAACTCGCTAATTATACGACATAATTTATCCAAAATCAATAGGCTTCTGGTCCGAGATATGTATGCACATGAAAAATTTGGAGCAGATTCAACGTCGCTTTCGTGAGATATCGTGTAACATACGAAAGTATCTAACAGACAGACAAACAAACGAGAATATCGGTTGGAAACCGAAGACTTATCGATCGATAGTTAGGGGATCCCCCAAAACAGAAACTGCAGTTTCGATTCATCCGCTCTTGTAACTTGCGCACTGCGCATCGCACACACACACTCGGCGGGTTTCAAAATTCTCTCGCTTTACAAAAATCTAGATCACTATATCAATAATGGATTGATAACTCGCTAATTATACGACATAATTCGCCCAAAATCAATAGGCTTCTGGTCCGAGATAAGATGAATGCACATGCAAAATCTGGAGCAGATTCAATCTCGCTTTCGTGAGATATCGCGTGCATCTAACAGACACACACACAGACACACAGACAGACAGACAGACATACATACAAATACCTATCAATATACTTACCGATCTTAAGATCGATAAGTAACAAGCAAATGCCTATCAACATACTTACCGATCAAGATCGATAAGTAATAAGGATGAAAGTTGAAGGGGTTGTCGGGACCCCCTTTCAATAGAGATTACCACAAGACGATACTTGAAACATTTACAATAGAGCTATGCTACAATTAGGACACCGTTCAGTCAACTCATAATCGTTAGATTATCGTTTCTTATTTTTTTTAAAAAGTGTACGCATCGTAGTCAATATTGTGTTTTTTCTTCTTAGTGGCTTGTGCATTTTTAAAATTTCGGCGTTTTTGGCTTCACAAATAAACGCCGTACAACAGTCATAGTTACGACATATTCCGTGCGCAGATGAATAAAAAATGCATTTTTCATTTTGTCCATTAAAATTGAGGTCGTTCGAGGTACACAACTAATTTATAAGCGACCAGTGGTTTTTAAAATAACTAAAATGCAACATGATTGCACATGAATTTGCACATGAGTTGTTTGGCTGTATATATAAACTTGGATGATTGCTCGCGTCTTCACGCTTGACCGCGTATTCCTTCAAACGAGTGGATACTTGCCGCAGCTAAAAGCGAGGCGCTCGCTCCCAAAATTTGAAATTCAAAACCAAACGCGGTCAATCGTGAAGACACGAGTTATCAGCAAATTGAAAGCCCGCCCTTCACGTAACAAGATAGCTTTGTGCCCGCCAATAATACGCGGAAACAGAAAGTCTGGATGTTTTTGTTCTTTGTATTCCATCCATGGCAGAGTTGAAAAAAAGTATTGCTGAACATCACAAAGTTATATATAGTTAAGTTGATGCACTGCTATATGTAAACAAAAGACGCCTCGCTTGTTAGCTCCATCAATAACAAATGTTTTTCAGTCTTTCGTCGCGTTTACTTTGTGATTCTTATTGACATTTTATCGATGTCGTTAAATATTTCAAACAAAACGATAAAATCATACTACTGACTATATTTTTTAATATTCACTTTTAATTCACTCAATAAAAGGTGAAAGCCTTTTTATATATTTTGGACACGGGTGCTAGTCGCGAACTGGGCAATTGTGTAAGTTTGCCTAAATTATTACGTGAAAAATATATAATGTAGCTTATGATAACCTATGATTCAATATTACCTAATCTTCCGACAATAGAAAATAATATGAACACAAAGCAAAAATAGAATGTACGTGCCATTTTTATATTGTTTGTGAACCACAGGCCTGAAAACCAAACGCATTTTTGCCAGTAAATTGATTTTATACTTGATTTACTTTCACCAATCGTTATTACTATTAATTCCTATTTCAGATAGAACTCCAAGATTTTAATATCAATGAACTTTTGCGCGCGCCATATATTTTAGTACTCATATACAGATAGCACTCTCCATATATTTTATCACCCAGATACACACTGAACTCTAAGTCATTTCATTAATGAATATTTGCGTGCGTCATATACTTTATTAGCCACATACAGAATGAACTCTAAAAACAGAGTTCATTCTGTATGTGGGTACCAAAATATCTGGCGACGGGCGGCGTTGCTTCAATTTCTCTCAGCGAGCGTAATTTGACGCGCGCTGCGGCGGCGCTTCTGATTGAGAAACACATTCTTTCACGTTCATTTATTATTTTTGTAAATTACATCTGACAAAGTATATATATAGTATTATTGGTTAAATTCCACGCCCTGTTCAACGTTATTATACTCTGTGACAAGTTTGCTTTCCTGTCGGGATTGAATCTAGAGTGGCTTTGGTCATATTAAACTAAATTGCAATGGTATTCAGTTAGCAATACACTCTTCATTGAATGAAATTCCTGTTTGGCATACCGGTGGTGCATTGTAATGAATTATGCACAATTTCAAAAAATGGACAAGTGCTTGTGTTCAAGCACAAATGTATTGAATAATAAACTGTACCAACGTACTCCAGCTATGTATATGCACAATTACGTTATTCAAGGGTTATTCAGAAACCAAAATTTTCTAGTGATATTGAATATCCGTTCGCGAAGGGTCGCAAATAGATTGAGTGAAAATGCCCGTGTTTTTCTTTTCATCACATGCATATAGGTATATTATAAATTATCTATCATTGCAACGCATATTATATAATGAAAAAACAAACAATACACCTAAGCATATATAAAATACATTTTGAAGACTAAAATCGAGTTCTCAAATACACATGATTTTGGTCGGATATATTCACGACCACAACATATATATGTACCTACGATCGCCATTGGCACAAAAATTTGGAAATGGCCTCTCGCAATTTCCACTGGGACATTCATTTTGTTGATTTTTTTTTTGTTGAGTTGCAAAACAGACAAAAAGGAGAGTATGTTTTTTAGATGTACTACCAGAAAAAAAGATACCATTTTATTTTTTAATATTCACTTTCATTTCAACCTACACGAGTATCAATTAATCTAGTACAAAAATTAAAAGCAAAGTATACAGCCATTTTCACGGACTTGTGGATGAATCTACGTAACCTTTCCGCGCTAGAAACATGCGCAAAGTCAGTCATATGCTACAAAATATTAATTACCAAATGTCTTGGATGATAACAACTGATAATATAACAACACACATTTGTGATAGGTCGATTTGCGAAACTGAAAACGAAAATGACACGGCCACAAAGGGATTATTTTTTAAATAAAAACGCCATCTCTATGCTTCTCGAAATAATACATAATAAAATATAAAGTTCAATGCTAAATTGCACATTACCTAATTGGCTGTATATGTAGACTTGGATGCCTCATAAGGCATATAAGTTGACGGTATAAACAGTGCATGCTACCAAACACAAATCTTATCCGTAAACTAACAAATTAAGATCTAACGGACACGTTCAGGTTCATATACAAATAAAATAATCAAGCGAAAAAAGGCATACAGACAACCTATCCAAACAAATCCCAGTAAAACTATACAAAAAGAGTTAAAATAATTTGCATTACAAAACTAATTATATCTCATACCTACTAGAATTCCATAAAAGCTGTAGAATTTGTTCTTCAATGTTTTGGTTACCGTACTTTTTCAAAACTAGAGGAGAAGAAAGTCGAGTTGCAACGGTGCCACATTCGTTTCAAAATGACGAAGATAAAGAGGCCCCAGTCCTTTAAAATAAATTTCAGTCAGGATCTTATTTGCGTTTCTTTTTTGTCGCTTAACATTTTTTTGTAGCTTTACAAAAAGTCATAGAAAACAAAGTAGAGTAGGTACAAAAGCAAACACGTGGCGTCACTGCTTGCTCACTCTGTCGGTAAGATATGTTTATTCAGCCTGTTTTTGTGTTTAATGGTCTCGTTACAACTCTTTTATCAGTGCCGACCTACTTTTAAACATAATCAATCATGTACACTACTAACCGGATTCTTGAAAAATCACTGACAACCTATTTAACAACTTGAGTGATAAAAACCCAATACGGTCTAATTTTTGAATCAACTACGTATCTAAAGATAGAAACCATATTTTTTTATTCCGTCACCAATCATAGTTTAAATAAATCGTTTTTATAGATTCATATTCATCCACAGTTTTGCAATTTGAGAGAATTGACTTGAAGATCTCGAGAATTACTTTTAAGTAAATCTCTTAGATTATAAATCAAAACTACCGCATAAGTTTCTTAAACGATCGATGGAACACTGAAAGAAATTTCAAAACTAATGCATTTTGATAGTTAATTGTTTCAAATACGAAATCTGTGGTCAAGGTGAATAAAAACCTCGTACGATCCCGCTGTTCCTCTAGTATTCATATAAAAACATGGATATCGGGTCCAAAAATGACTTAGCGGGTCGAACACACCCACAGGGATGTCATTATTGAAATTAAATCTTGATAAATAAAATAACACCCCTATTTTTGTAATATGAACATATGGGTCAGACGAGAATTATAAATCAAAAATTGTTCACCTTTGTTCATTTCGGAAAAAAGTTCTACAGCCTATATAATCTCACCTTCAAGGCAGCATTACAAACCATGAAGCGATAGGAGAACTCTTACAGATAGGATTTTATAATAATTGAACAATATCAGTACGTTTTGACATGATGGTGCATAATATTAAACATATCGTATATTATTTTTATTATTTCACACTATTTGTGGTTTCGGTTTTACAAAACCTTATTAGATAAGTGAACATTACATGCGCATAGAACCCATGTGTTATGAGTAAGAATATTCGGGCTGAAATTTCTTCCAGCTATACATACATATCCGCCTGGGCCATGCTAGGTTGGCAAGGTAACCAATTTATTTAAATCACCAAACCAAAGTTTAATTTCATGTGACCGCGAGGCATACAAAAAGAGCCCGAGACCAACAAAATGATGAATCTGATTTTATGGCAAATAAATTTATATAATGAGAGTTTTCGCGTTTTAGGTGTTTTTGAGTTTCAGTCGGAGTTTCGAGTCGTACTTTCAAATCTGCATTTTAACGTATTTCTTTAACATAGGGGATGTCTGTATATGCGTTCAGCTGGCTGTATATGCATGTCCCGTTGGCCATTGATTTCAATTCGACGACAAGAAATGCGGATTGTTTTCCTTTTCGCGCTACGAATTTGGTTTCAACTACTACGAAACTTTGAAATGGGGCATCACTATTGTCGCTACCAGATTCCTATTGTCACGAACAGTGAGTGGTCGGATACAGCGAGTTAGTGAAAATCTGACGAAATGTCGTGATAATCAACGAAACTAGTTTTTACTCTTTTATTTTAGCATTGGGCGACGAGCGAATGTGTAACATGCACCGCAGTTAACGATGAGAAATATATTGAGAGTCGCAAAAGGTAATGTATTTTTGTGACATAGCTATTGTACAAAGAAAGTCATTCTACCGAGACACCCATTCTGCAGCTACAGTCAATGTACAAATACAACCATTCTTCCAGTACAGCCATTCTGCAGCTGCAGCCATTATGTGGAAACAAATATTTTGGAGAGGAGAGTAACATTCTACCAGTAGAGCCATCATACGAATAAAGCCTTTTTGCAAATACAACTACTCTGCAGAGGCAGCCATGTGGATATAACACTGCGGATACACTGCGTCAAAGCGAATATACCAAATATTGAGTAAGAAGCTATTCTACAGATACAGCCACTCTGCAGATACGGCTTTTCTGCATATACAGCCACTCTATGGATACAGCCACTCTGCAGATACGGCTTTTCTGCATATACAGCCACTCTATGGATACAGCCACTCTGCAGATACAGCCATTCGGGGGGTACATAATTTCTGCATATACAGTCTCACTACCGATACAACACCTATGCAGATACAGCCAATTTGCAAATACAGCCACGCTAAAGAGGTAGCCATTCCGCGAATAAAGCCAATATTGTGAAATGAGCTATCCCACAGATACAGCCATTCTGCACATACAGCCGTTCTACATACACAGCGATTTGGCAGATACATCCTTTTTGGATATAAGGCCACTGGGCAGATACAGCCACTCCACAGATACAGCCATTCTGCACGTACAGCCATCCTGCAGATAAAGTCACTCCACAGACACAGCCAGTCTGCATATACAGCCACTTTGTAGATACAATCTTTCTGTGGGTACAATATTTCTACATATACAGCCACTCCACACATACAGCAACTCTGCAGATACAGCCATCCTGCACGTACAGCCATTCTGCAAGTACAGTCATTGTAAAAATACAACCATTCTACTTTAATATCATTCTGCACGTAAAGACTTACTACAGATAAAGCCACTCTACAAATAAAGTCATTCTGCGGATACAGCCATTCCTGAGATACAGCCATTTTGCAAAGAAGAGCCATTCTACATATACAGCCATTCTGATGAGAAGAGCCATTCTATAGCAGTTCTGGAATTACAGCCATTCTACGGTTACACCCTATCTGCAGATACCACCGTCCTACATATAGGGGCATTCTGTACAGTGTACATACAGCCATTCTACAGTTACATCCATTCTGCAGATACAGCCACTCTACAGATACAGCCATTCTGCACATGGAGCCATTCTACGGTTACAGCATTCTGCAGATACAGTCATTCTGCACATACAGCCATTCTACAGTTCCAACCACTCTGCAGAAACAGCCATTCTCCGAATACAGCCATTTTGCAGAGCGGAGCCATTCAATAGATAGAGTAATTCTGCAGATACAGTGATTCTTGAGATAAAGCCATTCTGCATATACAGCCATTCTACAGTTACAACCACTCTGCAGATACAGCCTTTACCCGAAAACAGCCATTTTGTAGAGAGGAGCTAGTCTACAAATACAGCCATTCTAAAGCGAAGAGCCATTCTACAGGTACAGTTTTACAGAAACAGCCAGTCTGCATATACAGCCATTTTAAAGATACAGCGATTCTGCGGATACAACTTTACCGCATATAGATCCAATCTATAGATGCGGCCATATTGTGGAAAAAAAAAATTTTGGAGAGAAGAGTAACATTCTACCAGTAGAGCCATCCTACGAATACAGCCATTTTGCAAATACAACTACTCTGCAGAGGCAGACGTGTGGATATAACACTGCGGATACACTGCGTCACTCGAATATAACAAATCTTGAGTAAGACGCTATTCTACAGATACAGCCACTCTGCAGATACGGCTTTTCTGCATATGCAGCCACTCTACGGATACAGCCACTCTGCAAATACAGCAATATTACAAATACAGATATTTTTCAGATACAGCCACTCTGCAGATACATCCGTTCGAGGGGTACATAATTTCTGCATACACAGTCTCACTACCGATACAACACCTCTGCATATACAGTCATTATGCAAATACAGCCACTCTGGAGAGGCAGCCATTCCGCGAATAAAGCCAATCTTGGGAAATGAGCTATTCCACAGATACAGCCATTCTGCACATACAGCCGTTCTACATACACAGCGATTTGGCAGATACATCTTTTTGGATATACAGCCATCACAGATACAGTCATTCTGCACGTACAACCATTCTGCATATAAAGCCACTCTGCAGATACATCAATTTACAGACACAGCCAGTCTGCATATACAGCCCCTTTGTAGATACAGTCTTCTGTGGAAACAATACTTCTGCATATACAGCCACTCCACAGATACAGGACTCTGCAGATACAGCCATTCCCGAAATAGCCATTCTGTAGAGTAGAGAAATAAGCCATTCTAAGAGAAGAGCCATTCTACAGATACAGTTTTACAGAAACAGCCACCCATTTTGAAAAATACAACCATTCTGCGGATACAACTTTACGCATATAGATCCAATCAACAGATGCAGCCACTCTGCAGATACGGATTTCTGCATATACAGAAACTCCACAGATACAGCCCACTCTGCAGATACAGCCATTGCTGTGGTACCAAAACACAGCTATCAACATTACCATTTTTCTGCACATACAGCCATTCTAAAGTTACAACCATTCTGCAGATACAGCCATTCCCCGAAACAGCCATTTTGGAGAGAGGAGCTATTCTACAAATACAGCCATTCTGAAGTGAGAGCCATTCTACAGATACAGTTTTACAGAAACAGCCAGTCTGCATATACAGCCATTTTAAAGATACAGCCATTCTGCGGATTACAAATTTACCGCATATAGATCCAATCAACAGATACGGCCATCCATATTGTGGAAAAAAATATTTTGGAGAGAAGAGTAACATTCTACAGTAGAGCCATCCTACGAATATAGCCTTTTTGCAAATACAACTACTCTGCAGAGGCAGACATGTGGATATAACACTGCGGATACACTGCGTCACTCGAATATAACAAATCTTGAGTAAGAAGCTATTCTAAAGATACAGCCACTCTGCAGATACGGCTTTCCTGCATATGCAGCCACTCTACGGATACAGCCACTCTGCAAATACAGCAATATTACAAATACAGATATTTTTCAGATACAGCCACTCTGCAGATACAGCCGTTCGGGGGTACATAATTTCTGAATACACAGTCTCACTACGATACAACACCTCTGCATATACAGCCATTGTGCAATACAGCCACTCTGGAGAGGCAGCCATTCCGCGAATAAAGCCATCTT